CCGGGCTGAGGGACCCCCTCCCCCCGAGTGCACAAATTTTTGTGCACTGGGCCTCTAGTCTATACTAATAAAAGAGAAGAATGCAAATTGACCGTACCTTCGTGACGCCCCACAGCCAATCAGGGGTGAGTATGCAAATTAGCCCGCAGGTTAATTTGCAAACGCAGGCGCCGAGCGACTGGGAGTGAGGTGGCCACTTGGCGCGCGTGCCAGCACCAAGCAGCCTGCGTCCCGGGGACAGGCGTCCTTGGGAGCCAGGCCGCTCTGAGCCTGTAGGCCCGTGCACTCCGGGCCTACACGCACAGGCACGGAGTGGCTGGGGATGGGGCAGGAACATCCCCGGGACCCAGGCGCTCCAAGCTGGCGTGCGCACAAGCGGCCAGGGGCAGGGCAGGAACGTCCCCACAGCAAGCGAGCAGACAGCAGGGCCCTGCTTGCCCCTGGCCGTGGCAGTGAGGAGAAGCAGTCCCCCGCAGGGCCTCCACGGAGAGCCAACACCAGGGCCCTGCTTGCCCCTGGCCCTGGCAGCAAAGGGCAAGCAGGCCCCCACAGAGAGCAGACACCAGGGCCTCAAGCAGGCAGGTCCGCAGAGAGCAGAGAACCAGAGGAGCAGGCCTAAGCCATCAGTAGAACATTCCCTGAGGGTTCCCAGGTTGGAGAGGGTGCAGGTTGGGCTGAGGGACCAACCCCCCCCCCCAATGCACGAATTTCGTGCACCGGGCCCCTAAGGAATATATAACATTGAACAAGATTTGAATCTCCCGCACTCAAATATACAGCAATCTGTGGAAAAGTGGAGCATCAAGGCACAGAGAATGCAGTAAGCTGTGTTTTGTGTCAGTCATAAGGTTCTGTTTTACATGGAATTTGCCTGTTCTAGAATGTCAACTTGAGAGTTGGAACTATTACCTTATCCATTCTGTTTTGCTTGTAACTCCATGTACAAGGGCTGGCACTAGCAAGCAGTCAGGAAATGTGTTTTCAGTTTTTTAAAAATGAGGTAACTTCCTCTTTAACACTAATAAAGCAAAATAATTTCTTTGCTATTCAAATTTTTCTCCTTACCTTAAAATGAAAAAATGTTCCTTTAATGAAAACTGAGTTTCTTAAGCAAAAAGTATTACATTAATACTTAGCAGTCACAGTTTTGAAATAATAAAGGTGGGAAATAATGCATCAAATGGGAAAATTTATTTTCA